TTGTGTGCTAAATATAAACCATGTCGGATGCGGAAAAACATTCTGGGCTGATGAAAAATGTAGCACTGGGGCTACAGATGCCATTGTGGGGCGTGAGAGTTGAGCGGCTGAGACTGAAAACGGGCAGATTGTGTGTTCAGATCTGTGCACATCACACTTACACTTAGATTGGTTAGATCGTAAGAAGCAGTCTGGGCATGTCCACACACATAACAAGATGTTGGAGGCACATTCATTCACAGTAGAAGGTTATAGGCTGAGGGACTCCTGTCTCAACCTGTGCTTTACACATGTACTGGAACAGTCCTAGCAGCTTCTAAATAGGGTTTTACTAATATAGTTTGTGTATGAAAGAACATTTTTCATTAGAAAAAGCATTTAATGTTTGTATTTTAAACATGCATCACTGCAGGAGTGGACAGTGCCTTTCCCAGCAACACTTACTCACACACTCCAGTATATGAACAGAAAAATACTTACACAATACACATCCATCAGGACATTCCTGATAGTTCATATTTGTTTCTCCAACATTCCCCCGAGACAAGTGATCACACACATACACAAACACACACAGCTGAAACATTACAGTGTTTATGCCAGCTTAATAATCAGCACAGCTCTTCCATTATACCCACTTTAAGTTAGGACTGGGTTCATTTTGTCCTACCAGTGGTTAAACAAGTGACTGGTGTGCCGGCGATGAGGAAAATGACAGTGATTATCTGTTAGAGTCATGGTCACAAACATGTATGGAACTGTGGCACACACATTCACAAAAATATAATAAAATAAATAAATAGTAAGGCACCAGGCTCATAAATACAAAGACTTGGGGCAGCCTGGTAGCTAACATGTACCAAGGCTGAGTGCCTTTGCTGCATGTCATCCCTCTGTCCTGTCATTCTTCTGCTGTCCTGTCCAATAAAGGCAAAAAATGCCCCCCAAAAACAGAAGAAAAAAACGCATATCTATTGTTTTTGGCTTTTAATTTTGAAAAATCTAGATCAGATTAGTAAAATTGTATGATCAGTGAATTTGATTCAGACAGATTTAAAGAAAAAAAAAACATTTGCAGTACAAACACTGTGAGACAAAGAAAGCCTTTCAGATGTTGTATGGGTCCTCTCTTCTATCTTTTGTTCTGATTGTGGTCTTCCTGATCCACTTTCTGGTCCACTTTCAGATTGGTGTGGTACAGTGCCTGAGTGAAAGAATGAATTAATACAGCATTAGGAATACAGCAAGATACTCTCTGGCTCCATGCGGTGACTTGCATCTTAAAAAAGGATTTGTTTACTTTACACAAACAAAAGCAGGGGAAAAAACACCCAAATCATCTTAATTTCTGTTTACACAAATGCCACACTGTATGCGTTAAGGTAATGACCTTAGTTCTCTGTTGTGTTTTGGTGTTTCAAAGATGAGCTTGTTGTCAGCCTCCTGTTTGTTGCTGCTTGTGTTTTCCACTTGCTCAGCACTAATGCTCTTTCCACTACCTGTTTTTCAGTGTAATTTAAGGTGGAATGATGTACAGTATGTCTCAGTGCGGATTGAACTGTGTTGATAAAAACACACACCAACATGCGATCTGTGTGTTAGACTGTATGAAGGTTTTGTGTGTCAAACGTATAGAGATTCGAAATGAGGCAAATCTTGCTTTAGTGCTCTTTGCTTTGTATGTTTTCCTCCCTGATCGTGTCCATTCTATTATTGCTTTCTCCGCCTGTCTCTCTCTTCTGCCTCTTTCTCTGTTTTTCTCTATTTGTGTTTGTTTTGTTCTGACTGGTCTCTCTGCTCATCAGCCTACAGTATACTACTCTCTGCCTTTCCGCCTCTCTGTTTTTCGGTCTCTGCTTGCGGTTGCCTGTCTGTCTCTCTGTCTCTCTATACTGTATTTGTCTCACTGCTTCTTTTTATCCATCCACTGAATGTTTTCTTTTTCAATATTTCTCTTACGTGTTTCTCACTCTATATCATTCTGACTCTCTGTTTTTGCCTGTATATTTCTGTCTGTTGACCTCTTTCTGTTTACGCCTGTCTCTACACTTCTCTCTATATTTGACCTTGCATTGCTTTCGCTTTCGCCTTCTGCCCACCTCTCTGATTCTGAGTATTCCTCTGCCTTGTTTCTCTTCATGTCTACCTCTTTCTGCGTTCTGTCTGTTCACCCACTCAATTTGTCTTTATTCTGTCACCATCCTTCCTCTGCGTCCGTCTTTCAGGCTGTGGCGTCTTTGCTATCTTAATGTTTTTTGCTGCTCGGCTCGCGTCCAGAAAGTTATGTGGGGGGGGCTAAGTGTTCGTACAGCCAATGGCAAGATGAGCTGTATAAAAGCACTGAGCTAATAGATGTGATGTATGACTCCGTACGTGACTGCTTTGGTAAAGAACCGGCCTCCTACTGCAAGGACACAGCCCTCTACTGCGTGTGTGTGTGTCAGTTGTAAAATAGCAATGAAATCTCAATGCCAAGTTATCTTCTGTACTTCCCTGCTGCATTGGAAGAACCATAGCTGATGTGTGTGTGTGTGTGTGTGTGTGTGTGTGTGTGTGTGTGATTTGGCCTTGCCATCACGTTAACGCTTTGTGTCCTGGATCACCCCCCCCTCGCTCTGCAGTTGCCATGGCAACGCACCAAGAGGCTCCATCATGTGTCTGTGCCTGTGACCGCAATTTTATAACCGCTCACAAGCGCTGGCTTTGTGTGTTTGTGTGTTTATATATTTTCTCCTTTTAATTTTGCTTTTGATCATGCTGCCGGTGCTTCGAGGTGACACTGAATAAGAAGCCTCTGTCGAGCTCTCTCAGGCTCGGATACAGAGACATCTTTTAAACAGCAAGTTGTCTTGAATATTGGATTTAGTTGTGATAAGCAAACGTTGGGTTGATTGAAAATGTCAGCCTTTTCTCTAGTGTTGATGAATCTGAGAGCTTTGTCACACGTTTTATAAAAGTTCACATATTAGGCTTGTGATTGGAGAGCTTATCTGACAGAGACGCTTAGACGAAATGTGCAAGTGCCCCTCAGTCAAAGTAACTCTATTTTCCTATGACAATAAATGTGGACAAAGTTGTTAGTGAAGCCACACAGTGGATACTGTAGGTGCAGCATATAGAGGCAGAGATTAGTGTTGAGTACTCTAAAGAAGGGGTTCCCCACCTTGTGCTTGTGACTCTTTGAAACGAATGTCTACAGCTTGCATACTGTGCATCTAGGAAGGAGGCCATAAAAGGTAAAATTATCCAGCATTTCGCAAGACAAAAAAGCAAAGATTAGAGGAATGTCCTTTATATTTTGCATAACAAAAATGTCTTTTCTGAGCCCTCAGATTGAGCCTGGGGTGTCCCAACCCTCAGGTCCTAAAGGACAAATAAATAGTAATTGACAGAGGGCTATTTAGACCTAAATAGATTACATGCATGACATCTGGTAGGACTTTTGACGTAATATCTGAAAAGCACCATCGTTTGCAATGTCCTGACACAAATAGCACCGTGGAGTAGAAGTTTGGTGAAACAGCCCAAAACAGAAACGTTACAGGCATGTTCCCAAAATCTCCACAAATAGCCATGTGTGCCATGGCACCATCCTAAAACAAAACCCTGAACCCCCTGCCTGATCAATCATTGTAAGTCGCTCTGCATAAGAGTGCCAGCTAAATGCTCCAAAAGTAGCCAGGCTTGGAAAAGAAGGCAGCCTGTGCTCTGCAGCCTATTTTATGTTGTCCCTCTCATGGGCTCAGTTCCATTTTAGACCAGCAAAAGGAAGTGGAGCAAGGCTGTTGACTTATCTATCTATCTATCTATCTATCTATCTATCTATCTATCTATCTATCTATCTATCTATCTATCTATCTATCTATCTATCTACCTACCTATCTATCTATCTGAATACCTCAGACAACATTATTGTTTTTACATAATACAAAAGTTGTTTTTCTGTCGGATTTTGGACGGTATCCATTTTTTCTGCTGATTCATGTCTGAGGTGGTGGGTGGGTGTCAGTTCAACTTGACTGTCTGAGCTCAAAACGATATCAGCCCATCAACCAGTTATGTTTTAACATAACAGTGACAAAAAGTTTCTTTGAGTTTTTCTAGCTTAATTTTGAATACTTTTACAAAGACTATAATGCAGGAAAAATATCCATTGTGTTTGGGTTTGAGTCTGCAGAAGTGGTTGTAGAGGTAACAAGCTCTTCGCTTTGTATGCTTTTTGCAAAATCTTAAGGACTTTATGCACTTCTTACTCATGAATTGTTGATTTTAGAATAATATCAGAAATGTAGAAAGCACTTGCCGTGCACCAAAAACCTCAGCACTGCACCAACCTAAAACTAATAGATATTTATTAAAGCATGTTCTTTAGGTGGGCTTGGTCTTCCACTTGCAAAAATGTTTTAATAAATATAACTCTGCAGGGTTTTATTGTTGTGCAGCTGGCCCCTCATTCGTTTCTGATTGTTTTTTTTTACCAGAGCTGTATTATATTGGAGAGAAGATGACTTCTGATGATTTTATTGTCTTGCAAAATCCAAAAAATGTCCCTGATGTCCTTGTTTGTGAACTTTCTGTTTGTGATTAAATATGAGTTTCTGTAGATGCCGCCTCATTCTTTATTTGTTTATTCATTATTTGTTTAACAACACTGATGGTCATTCCAAATGCAGTTCTTCTTTTATTTGTTCCAAACACAAACATGCAACATGTCACTTCCTGAGCTTCTCTGCAGTAAAGACCTGTCTGTGTTCAGAACAGCAAATGTAAAAGCTTTCATGAATCACTGTTGAATGGTGGCAGTTTGCAACAAGTTATTTTGATATTAGTCATCGGCACTTAAAGCTAAGTCTACAGCTGCACTTGCTGTGAGTCACATCTAGAAATAATAAAAAAAAAAGAGTGTACAGTGTTCAGACTGGGATGTGGATTTCCAGTCGAAGGTAACCCGGTAGATTACGTACCTAAGGCTAACCTTCATCCCACTTTTGTGTTTACAGGCCTGAGACCCAGCAGAAAGCCCCGTTGAGTGCCCCTCCTCCCCCGCCACCCCCTCCGCCTCCCCCTGAACCGGCAGGGCCCCCGGAGCCGGAGGAGGAGATCCTGGGCTCCGACGATGAGGAGCAGGAGGACCCCGCAGACTACTGCAAAGGTCATACAGACCCACACACACTAAAGTCTGCCTATCCCAGGCCAGTCCATTCCTTGCACATGTGTCGTTCAGAGCTCAACAGGGGCTTCCCGGTGTCCTTTCTCTGCCTCTGTCTGCAATTCTTTCCCTCTTTTCTCCCTCCATCCTGATGGGATTTGCAGCAGTGTCATTCTATCCATCAGTGTGACACGTGTGGTAGTTGTTGTCGTTTCAAGGTTGTTTGGTCGTTGCCAGAAAGGAGCGCCAGTTTAGTTTCCTGCAGTGGCTCGCGATGCCAAAGGCTTTCTGCTTTCTGCTAAGAGGTTCATTCTCATTACACGGCTCTGTTTGAAAATGCTACACCCCTTTGGTAAACACTGTAGAGCATTACACTTAGCGATAGCTGAAGGAAAAGGTAGTGCAGTGTGTTTAAAACTTTATTTAGCTTTTATTCTAAATATACCATGATGTCTTTTAGTCATATACTATATTACATCATAAAGATTCATTTGGAAAACTTTTGATATCTCTTTGTTTTGGAAGAAGCACAGCCAAACTGTCTGATCTCACTTCAGTGATATGAAAGATTAAAAGAAAAGACAAAACATCACATCTCTGTTTTTTGGCTTCTATCATTGGCTTATAAAAACCAACAACTTGTTATTATGCTCATAAAGCCCTTTATGTGTTAGCTCTTTTGTTTGTTTATTTATGAACATTTTAAGGACTTTAAAACCCTTATAATGCATGTTTTAACCCTGTTGGGATAAGTACATAAATAGGTTTATTATTATGAGCAGTAGTAGTAGTCTTTGTAGTGTTATGTGTACACATTGAGGCTAACCTATCCTGTTCCGCCTTGCTCTGTACTGTTTTATTTAAAATTACATTACATTATACACAGGTTTATGTTCAATAAAATACATGGACAACAAGTGTAACCCTGGCAAGCGAGACGTTGCTCTCTGCCAGCTGGTAGTGTCATTGTAGCAAGAACAAACAGGATTTTGATGTCTCATTTAGCTTAACATATGCAGATCCAGGTTGAAGTTTTACAGACAATTACTGAATAATTTTTTATTTCACCTCTTAACAAACGCCTCCTTTTTGTACACAAGCCCAAAAATGACAAACACTAAATAAGATGGTTATTGTTCTTGAGCCCCTTTGATTACAATCATGATCCTGGTCTTTCCTGAATGGTAACTTTTTGGAGTTTAATATAGTAAGTAAGTGATATTGAACCAGATTTACTGATACACATACAAAGTTAGAGTTAATGCTAGTTAGTGAATTTTTATGTTATGTTTTGTTTGCACTCCTGTTACAAAATAAGCAACTGTTGTCGCAGTGATACCGATTTCTTTAAAGAGTTTATACCGATACTGATCTGTAAATTAATCTACATATAAATTATTGATGAAAAGCAACAAATCTTCACATTTTAAAAGCTGGAACCAGAAAATATTTAACATTTTCTTCTGAAAAAAATATTATGATGATTTATTATTATCAAAATAGTGGATTTATTTCCCTTATGTTCAACTAATCATTTCAGTACTAATTCACAACTATGTTTCAGTGAAATGTTTTTTGCATCTCAGGTCTAAAATGGAGCATTTAAGTTTCATTTGTTATAGCTTCACTAGATGCTACCTGCCATTAGAAATGTTTGTGCTGTACTTTCCTGCTGCTTCTCCTTTTTTATTAATCCACAACACTTCTCTCCTGTCTCATTTTCGGTCTGTTTGACCTCCCTCCCTCTCTCTGCTGCTCTCCCTCTACTTCTTACTCACTAATGGATTTCATGTCATTGCCTGGTTATCACTAACAGTCGCCTGTAACCTTCATCTCTCTCCCTCTTTATTTCTCTCAGGAGGGTACCATCCGGTGAAGATCGGGGATTTGTTCAACGGGAGGTACCATGTGATCAGGAAGTTGGGGTGGGGCCACTTCTCCACCGTATGGCTATGCTGGGACATACAGTGAGTCACTCACACACACACACACACACATTTGCACACACAAGCATACAGTGTAGTACAGTATAGGCTCACAAGAAACTCACACTCTCACCACACACACGTCATGACCCACAAATACATTCAACACACCCTGTCACCAACACAAGTTCACTGACACATGCACACAGATGCTCTTCTTGCAGTCCTTCACTTCACCTTGCTCTCTCACACACATCACCTAAACCACACACGCACCACACCTGTTGACACGATTTGGTACGTCACTACAACAACGGTTGCAACCAACACCATCCTGTGCTGGCAGCCAGGCACCAAAGCCATCCATTTGCACTATAATGTTGTTTCTGTGTTCACGTGGCAACCAAGGTGGATGGATGACACTGTATTATCAACCCAGTGTCACCTTTCACTGACTCGCACACACTCATCTGCTCGTGTCACTGGTGTTAATTACACTAATGGTGGTCGTAAACTAGTGAGCACACTGTACGGTCAAATATGTCAAGGGTGTCGATGTCCATTGGATATATTCTGTTTATCCACTGTGTTAATATTAATAATTGTGTTGTCTTCTCTACTACCTACTACTGTAACATGCATAATTTACGCATGAATTCATATCAGAGCAATATGTCCAATATTATTACTACTACTCATTGCTCATATAGTGATCAATCTCTAGAGAATGATCACCTGAATCTGCAGCTCCTCTCAGCTTTATAGCGAGTTTCAGCTCATTGTTTATCTGTCCAGCCCACAACTTTACTGTTTTGGTTCACTCTCAGCGCTCTCATAGCAGCATTTTCAACTGTTTTCAGAGAAAAAGCTCTAAAAACCCACTGTACACTACTTGCTTGGCACCAAACAGCAGACAGTTACAGTTAGTGGAGGCCAAAGTCAGGTCTTTATCCACTCAACCAGCAAGTTATTTTGTATGATTTTTTTGTTGATAATTGTTTTTTTTTTGTGATTGTCTACTCAATTAAATGAGTTTCAGTACTTGTCGTACTTTTACGAGAGCTAGGACAGTATAAGCACATTAGGCCGCTCAAAAACAGCTCTGAGACAGCGTTATAAAGAAAGAAACTGAAGCACAACCAGAGACTGGACCAGATTTGCATTAAATACACTTTAAAAACAATGTATAATTAAAAAAATTCTAATTTAGCTATCAGTTACATTCATTGAGTCACTGAGTGTGCTGCTGACTCACCGCTGACTCATAATAATTTTACAATGCACAAACCTAAAAATAAGGATGGTATTTGAATGTCAACACTTGGTTATTCTATATGCAGAGCTGTGTTTTTATTAGTGTGTAACGACCTAAATATAGGAATTGTTATGCTTTTGTTACCTTAGAATGGGCTGCTTTTTATCTACAGACACCATGTAGGCCGCCCTGTTGAACCGCCATGTTTCTACAGTAGCCCAGAACGGACAAACCAAACACTGACTCATGTTACCTTAAATAAGAATGATCCCATTGAGTTATATGAAAGGAGGCAGGGTTATACCAATCTGGGGTTTGCATAAAGAACACTGGTATTATAAAGGTACTTGGTATATGTAAATACATTGAGATTAGGTATCAGAATGGGTGTTGGGTGAGAAATAGTCATAATGATCCCTACAATACAGCCTGTTACAATATAATTAGCGATATATGGGAAAAGAGTTTCCCAAAGAGTTTGTTAAAGTGTTTTGTGTGAATTAAGATGAAAGAGTGTATTTGCTTAGGAATTTTAATGGTCTTTTATATACCTCTTGTCATTTCTTTTATCCACTAAGAGTAAATGTGGTATTTGATATACAATAAATGATGATGATGAAGTTATATACTTGGTATCGATTATGATCTAGGTCACAGGATGGGTCAATGGATTCTATAAGGAAACCTGAAGCAGCCTGAGACACCACCCTGGTAGCCAAAAAGATTTGGCGAATAAAGCATGGTGTGCTGAAGAGTTGTGCGGCAGCTTTTAATTTTGATTGGCTTCTACCATTCGCGTTAATGTTATTCCTGTTATAAAATGCCACATTGCCACATTTGTATTTCCATTGGCAGTGTGGGCAGTGTGAACGATAGCTGAGCAAAGGTGTAATAAAGGTTCAGGCGAGAGCCATTTTATAATATCTTTGACATGGACACATTAATCAGCATTACTGGATTTAACAAGGCATTGGTGTGTGAGTCGAAATGAAATGCCCTTATGTATCTGTGTCATTACAGAGTGAAGAACTTTGTGGCGATGAAGGTGGTGAAGAGCGCCCAGCATTACACAGAGACTGCACTGGATGAGATCAAACTGCTGCGATGTGTGAGAATCTGATTAGTTTGACATTTAAGTGTGTGTGGGAATCCTTTTACGCTTTTCATCTTTCTTTGTTATTTTGTTTGTTCCTTTTTTCATTTTGTCTTCCCTTCCTTCCTTCTTTACTTTCCTTACTTTTCATCCACCTGTGCTCAATTTTGTCCTCCTAATATCCCTTCTTTCCTGTTCTTCCTACCTCCTCACATCCCCTCTTTACACCTTGCATCTACTCTTCTCTGTTTCTCTGTTAACACAAAACACTAAAGATACACTGGTCATTTATCTTTCATGCTGGGTGCAGAGGACAGTCATCTTTGAATCAATTTTTCAGCATCTTTATCACCCACATCCATCTCCCTTGTCCTCCTCCTCTCCTCAACTCTCTTTTCCTCATTCTCACTCTTCTCTTTCCTCCACCATTCTCATTCTCCTTCAGTCATCCCATCCCCTCTTTCTTTCTTTTTTCATCAGCATGCCCTATTTTTCCTCTCCTTTTTCCTTCAATATTCTCTTATTTTATCCTGTCTCTATCCTACTGTTGTCTGTCCTTCTTCTGCTCCTTCTTCCTGTCAGCTTTGCCTCATCTTATCGTGCTCTTGTCTTCCAGGTGAGAGAGAGCGACCCTAGCGACCCCAACAAGGACATGGTGGTTCAGCTGATAGATGATTTCAAGATCTCTGGAGTCAACGGCATACGTATCCCAATCAGAAGAGTGTGTGCGTTTATATGTGTTTGTGAGTGACATAGATATGATAACGTGAGACCTTGACTCTCCATCCCAGATGTGTGTATGGTGTTTGAGGTGCTAGGTCACCACCTGTTGAAGTGGATTATTAAATCCAACTACCAAGGTCTGCCTCTGCCATGTGTCAAGAGCATTATCAGACAGGTAAGGACACACACACACACACACACACACACACACACACACACACACACACACACACACACACACACACACACAACCAAACTATTTATAGACCCAATATATCAGACATTGTTGACTGTAGTTCCGCGATATTTGGATAAATTATGAATCTGACCACTGCAATCTAGGATTTGTAAAATTACATGGATTTCCCTAAGAGTGTATTATAGGTCAAATAAGGTGACATTGTCCTGAATGGAGCTGTATCTTTATATGACAATGATATTTACCATTGTAAATCAACCTATATTTATAGGCAGTTCATTCTCTTTTGCATGGACAGAGTAGTAGTGTTTCTCTCCTGACCACTCTCTGGATAAATATATGCTTATCAGCTTCCTTTTTTATAAGATCTATTATACATAGTTATGTGGTTCTTTTCCACAGGACTTATTCAGAAGGTTCAACTTCACCTAGATAGCTGGCAGTATTCTTCTTACTCTGAAGCAGTGGTGCTTCGTTGCTTTTACCAGCCTAATTAAGCAAAAAGTAGGTTAGTATATCATAAAACATGCATGTGTATTGTAGTGCTGAGACTTACAGTATTTCTATATATAATTCCTCGAGGAGAGGAGGTAAAGAAATCGTAACTTATTTGGTTTCTATGTCCAAATGCTGATTGCACGGCTGTAAAAGACTGAAAGAAAACGTGGATGAAGAAATATAATATAAATAGATATAAATAAATATATAAGAGCAGCTTAATTCACACCCAATACTGAGTCCTACTGATACAGTGCATGCTATTGTTTACTTCACACTTCACACTTCAGTACCACTTCCATCCTAAGATGCGGGTCTTTCAGGCTTGTTCCCTTCAGCAAGCTGATGAGCATGTGAAGTTGTTGAGCCTTTTCAGACGCTGCTAGGCTCCGGCCTTTAAGAAGCCAAGTTAGTTATACACTGTTTAAGTTAGTTATACACTCTTTAAAATATTTTTGCACACCATATTTCTTACTGCATATAGTGTTTTATAGTCTTTCTATGGTCTATTATATCTTCATAATATTTTTATTGTATTATTCTTTATTGCATTTCTACACTTACTTTTTACACTACATTTCTCTGTACTGTACTACTGTGTAAACTTGAATTTCTCCCATGGGGGATCAATAAATGAACATCTTATCTTATCTTATCTGAAGGCTGAAGATGAGTAGAAATTAAATGAGACTGTTCCTCTGGACAGAAACAAATGAGAGAAACAGTGAAACAAAAACATCCACAGTCTCTCTTCTTTGCCCTCAGAGAGGGCACAACTATACAATAGTTTTTAATTTGGCTCTGAGAAAGACAGAGGTTGCTGTGCAAGAGGCTTTGTCTTAAATTTTTGAGTGTATACACAACTAACCAAGAAGTGTGGGCATGTTTTTCAGTTATAAAATCTGGGTCTGTTTATCTTGACGTGTTTGTAGGTCCTTCAGGGTCTGGACTACCTCCACACTAAATGTAAAATCATCCACACGGACATCAAGCCAGAGAACATCCTGATGTGTGTAGATGACGCCTTTGTAAGGCGTATGGCCATGGAGGCAACCGAATGGCAGAAAGCTGGAGCCCCCCCGCCATCTGGATCAGCAGGTACACACAAAAACACTCACACTAGGTGTATTTTAAAGAAAATAGTATAGTATAGTATAGTATAACATAGTATATATAATATAAAACAACTCATAGTTTCTTAATGCTAAGCTAAGCTGAACGGCTGCTGGCTGTAACTACATATTAAGCATATAGGAACGAGTGGGGTTGATGTGACCAAACTCTCACCAGGAATAACCAATGACGGTAATTCTCAAAATATGTTTTAATGTTTTTTCTTTACATCTTTTCCTAAAATTTTGCTACCAAATTATTATTTATTTTACATGGTAATTTAAAGGTGAAATAAAAAAACTCATCAAAACGAAACATTCAGGAGTAACATCTTACTTAGCAGCAGCATAGCGCCACAAAGATACAGCATGCAGTGAAGTCTTGTGGGTTTAGTGTTTTAGTTATGCAAAGTGTGTAGCTTCTTAATCAAAATTTAGATTTTAGGTAAAAGGGGAAGCTTACAGTACATGTAGTAGGTTAACATCTCTTTTTCCTCTCTAAATGATCATGTTTAATATTGAAGTGCTCAGTAAAGAAACAGGATTCACACAGAAGCCTCCTCAGTTTCTTGCATTTTTTGTACCACACAGAGACATTTCTTACTTTTTCATCTCCTGTCACCAAGTTCCCCCACAGAAAAAAAATTAAGTTCTTAAAGAACTGTCTTGAAAAACCCGACATGAACCCTGTCCTCCTGGTGAACCCCCCCCCCCATGAGCTGTCAATTGCTTGCATCAGCTGAAGGAGTCTTTTTCAGCCTTAGGGTAACCAATTATACTGCTTACATTTCTACAAAATTAAAGTCAGGCACAAGACCATCAACCGTCAAAACAGGAGGACTCAGTGGTGATAAAAATCTGCCCGTGACCGAAGAGGCAAAATAAATAAAAGGTTTTATTGTCATGTGCTTATAAGCAAAATGTCTTTTATTTTTGCTTCTGCTGGCTTGAAGCTATGTAGGACAAAAATAGCAACATACTTGTACTGGTATACAATGCTGGTTTAACAAGTTTATTTAGCAATATTTTGTAGAAAACGCTGTTTGATATATTATTTTACTTGCTGAGCTGCTGAGCTGGAAACCCTCAGTAGATGACACAACAATCAATCAGTCATTCCTAAAATTAATGTTTTGTGCACCACTTTGTCTGTTGAGAATGCATATTAAGAGACTGTTTATGGAAAATACAAAACATTGATCATATTTTTTTTGCGAGTGTGTTGGAAAATGAGCAGGACTCAAAAGGATTTAAGCAGGACTTAAAGATATTTTTATATATATTAAGTATCACTCTACTGTAACTCTTTTCAGGTTTATCCAAATGTTGATTGGTCTCAGATGATTCAGGTGAGAGAAGACTACTGTCCTATATAGGAGCTACAATTCTCACGCATGAGAAGAATAAGCCATGAATATTATGGATCTGGGACAAGCAAATTAAGGCTGTGGGAGTGTGAAAGATCTTTTTCTTCATTTGTACTTCACCTACAGAACGTGGACAAAACCTAATGATTTTCTTTTCCAGACGAGTAACGATATTGAACATACCGTGAACTCTGGTGGATTGATGTTGGTGACACTTTGAAGCCTCTGATTTTTGTTGTTTTTCTTTCTGTCTGTCAGTTAGCACAGCCCCCCAGCTCAAACCGGTGAGTACAACAGATGTGAGTATGAAATGAGAGGAATGCACACACACACAAACATAAACACACATACACACACAAAGTCAAAAACAAGGTACATACAGCATGTCACACTGTTTTGGTGTGATCTCCATGATAGCTAGAGATACAGGGAGGGTGCATCACAATATTTGGAGGCAATATTTAAAATGTCTGTTGGACTTTGCTTGCATGTCCCTGTCAGAGAAACGTGATTAAAATAAATTATTTCACTATGGCTGTGCTGTGAAATTAATTTATCTCTAAAACATCAATATGTTTATATTAGGTTAAGGGTTCAAATCTTAAGTATTTCTTTATAATATTAAATATTTATGACAAAATAAGCAACAATCATAGTAAAAGCTCATAAAAAAAAACATCCTCAGTTACTCCTAAACTCAGCTAATCTGCATCATCAGGACTGTGTGGGTGAGGTCTGATCAGATTTGATTGACACTGGTCTGAAAATATGAGCAAACAGGCCCACAACTCTCAGCAGACTTTGATTCAAATGTTGCTAATCCTGCACTGAAGAATGTGGCATCACCTTTTTCCAATTCCCGCCCACTCCAAATCAGCAAACAAAGCACAAACAAAAACACAAATACAGAAATCTCTCTTAAAATGGCCAAAACTGAGAAAATATGTTTTCCCAGGGCCTCTAAGAAGTAGGATTATTTACTCAACATATAAATTAACATTTGATCCCCAAGTTTAGCTAAAAAACTTAATATCACTTTATTTTGAGATGCATGGTTTTCATTGGACAGCAATGATGTGCTCTATTTAAAATGCTCTAATAATTATTATCAATATACAGTGAACATGGTAGTGGACACTACATAACCCAACATTCAAATAACTATCAACATGTTTATTCTTTGAATACCTCCCATTCATTTGTGGTTTTTGCCTCCCCTGTGACGCTCCCTCTTCCTTTCTTGTCCCATTTTTTGTCCCAGGTGGGGAAGATCTCCAAGAACAAGAAGAAGAAGCTGAAGAAGAAACAGAAGCGGCAGGCAGAGCTGCTGGAGAGGCGGATGCTGGAGATTGAAGCCCTGGAGAGAGAGGCCGAGAAGAGGGAGGAGAAAGCCAAAGAAGGAGGAGAGAAAGGGGAGCATGAACACAACCTGTCTTCACCGCTGCAGCCGCCACCACCGCAGCTGGGCCCTAGCATGGCCCTGGGAGAGAGCGACGAGGATGATGATGATGATGAGGAGGATGGGGAAGATGAGGAGGAGGAGGGAGGAGAGAGGGAGAGGCCCATCAGGTTGACTAATCATACATGTGAGTCATGTGATCCGAAGAGTTTTCCCCAATTTGAATGCTGTGGTCTTCACCAGGGTTGGACAGATATATAACTTTATTAAAATCAGATATCCTCAATGAATGCTGTTCACCCTTAATATGATAAGTACAGCATGATGCATGGGATTTGATAATTGAAGAATATGTATTTTACCCCTGGGTGAATCTGATTTGTTTCGCAGAAATGAAATGAACTTGAGTAACTTCAGTCTAACAACCAGGCTAGCCTCATGAAACGTAACAAATAAAATATTCTCTGTTGGAAGGTTCAGTCCAGAAATGTTGGTCGTGGTTTCAGCTTCAGATAGCTCATATTGGTTCAATCCTGTCTTTGTCTCCATGTAGGAATCTACGCGTATTCTACTTTGCATTCATTGTTATTTTTATTATTTAATTGTTAATTTAACATACTTAATGCTTAATTATTCCTTATTTATTGAAACTGTGTGGTGTACAATCCTTTCTTTCTCTAAGTGAAATGCACTGTGGAGGAAAAGTGAGCAACATATCCTGTACTTCTTACTGTATTGACGTTATTAACGATTAGGAAGGTGAAGGTGGTAAGGCAGAGCAGTGGCTCCAACAGATCTGCAGCATGAGTGAGTGTGCGAGTATGTGTATGCAGGTTTGTGCAGTCTGTCTGTGAATGAATAGGAGGTGGATTGGCTCCAACCATCAGCCCACGCTAGTCCCACTGTGTATGGGAGGCTAGGCTGATTCACAAAAAACAAAAAAAACAGTCTTTCTCTGTCTCCCCACCTTCTGTCTCTTTCATTCTCTCTTTTGCCTTCTCCGATCTTTATTCTCTTTTCGTTTTCCTCACTGCCTACACCATATCTCCTTCCCATCCACCTCCTCTCTTAACAGTTTTTCCTGCACTCTGTCCATGTTAGGCGCAGCACCTCCCCAGGAGCAGAGCGAGGCGCCCCGCATCACTGACGACGACCCCAATGATGATGAGGAGGAGGAGGAGGAGGGGGGAGGAGGAGGAGGAGGAGGAGGAGGAGGAGGAGGAGGAGGAGGAGGAGGAACCCACGCCTACCGCTGAAAAAGATACTCCTATTCCCCTCACCAACGAAGAAGGTAATGGAGATCCAACGCAAGCAGAGGTAGAAGACGAGGAAGGGAAGGAGGATGAGGAGGGAGGATTAAAAGGGGCAGGGGATGAGAATGAGGAAGAGGAGGTAGAGGAGAAAGTAGAGGAGGAGGAGGAGGAAGAGGAGGAGGAGGAGGAGGAAGAGGAGGAAAAAAAGACTGAAAGAGAGGAGAATGAGACAGACGAGCCAAAGAATGAGAACAAAACAGAGGAAGAAGCAGCGGTAGAAGAAGATGTGTCAAAGGAGCAGGAGGAGGAGGAGGATGATGAGGAGGACGAGGAGGAGGAAGAGGAGGAAGAGGATGAGGATGAGGAAGACGAGGATGACGACACGACTGCAGAGCCCCTCACGGAAACCACCTCCCCCATCAAACTCCACAACAACAAAAGCAATTCGGCCAAAACCAATGGTCACGTTTTGCTGGGATCTGAGGGACTGAAACCGAATCCTGGAACTCCTCCACCTCCCTCGCCCACCCCTGAGCCTATCCTCTGCCCTCTGGTGGAGTCCGAGCTCAGCTACACAGACAGGGACAACTCTCTCAGCTCCGGGTATGAGATGCAGAACGGCGAGCTGCCTGAGCCTGGATTGACCAACGGCTCCAGTGACCGCCACCGGGTCACGATGCCCCTTTTCCCGGATTTGCCCTTGGATCCTCTGCCGGGAAACCCCATTTCTGTTGGCACGGCAGACATTGGAGCAGGACCATCACCCAACAGCCCCACCGCTGACCGCAGTCGCACTGTGTCGTCCTCAAGCACGGGAGACACACCTAAAGGTAAGACAAGGTTTCTGTATATCCACTGATTTACACGCACAAAATGATTCTATTCACACATAATTACTGATACTCAAGAACTCCATTACAGAGCCACAAAGTTGTTTATTATGTAACATTGTATGTTTCATGATATAATGTTATTTCAACTAACACTTGAATGACACGTCAACACCTTTTCTGTACACATAAGCTCATTCATGTCCTTACATTAAAACACTAATTTCAACACCTTTCATTGCCTATACTATATGTTGCACCCCTTACCTCTTTGTACATGTTATTTCCTTTAATACCTTTAATACTGAATTTTAATAATTTATCTTTAAAAATCACAATTTATTGGTTAATTTATATATTTAACACAGCTCATTCACGTGATTATTTCATAATGTCTTGTTTTATTTATAATATTGAACACTTCATGGCTTCATGATCCATGAAAAAACAACAAAATATGTACAAAAATATGTTGTAAAACATGGAATTAATATGCAATACACCCACTATGTAGAGTAGATACCACCTGTCAATACTTTAATTATGTATTATATATACTGTATTAACAAATGATTTAATGCTGCCTAATTATTCTTCCTTCTTGCCAAGGTCTCTATTGAAAAAGAAGCTAATCTACATATAAATTAGAACTTTACTTTTTAAGGAAAGGAAAAAAGCATAATAATAGTTAGAGCTAATTTAGATCTTAGGTGAGGTAACAGATTGGCAAAAAATGAAAACGTCTTTTCATTTTCTGTCTTATACATTATAGCTGCCTGGTAAGATAATCCAGTTGCTCATTATTACATTTTAGTTTTCCAGATATCTCCTCTGGGTGTTATCAATGACTCACCACCATCATTACTCATCCACCCAAAGCGTTCATTTTATTATCAATAACTTGGACTTTATATCTTTATAGGTCACTTCTAGGATCACATCTCCTAAGCTTAACAAGAATGTTAAACAAAAAATGTCTAATGAAGTGCAACCACCACATAAAGTTTATTTTTCCAGTTAAATTACACTCACAATGCCTCATCGGGACTTAGTTCAAACTATTTGGATCACTTGTTAAAAAATGTAATGTACATTACAATGTGTAAACTATCTCTACTTACTGTACTGTATGTGTTAATGCTGTTTTTTCCCACTCCATCCCTTCCTAGTCAGAGCCAGAGCTGCAGATCTCCTGATCAACCCACTAGACCCGCGCAACGCCGAGTCTATTCGAGTCAAAATCGCTGATCTTGGAAATGCCTGCTGGGTGGTAAGACACACCCTTTATTTTTGACATTTTGACCACCTACACGTTGTCCTCAGGTAAATAAATACCCACAGAGAAGAAATGAGGGGTATGTATGTGGCAAATTGATCTGTGACATCTTAATCATCTAATCACATTCATGTATGTCGAGATATCCTTCTTACTAGTGATATATGAAATTAACATTAATATAAATAGAGATAAGTATAATTTCAAAAGTATCTTTCACAAACTTCCAATAAATAGGACAGTGTAGTTGGTTGAAACTTCGCTAATAAAATTGAAGGGAGCTATGACTCCAGTTTTTCTCCTAGCACCTATTCCACTGAGATTATGTGGCTGTGTGCACACACAATTTATTCTGAGTTATCAACCAAAACATGAATGTAGTTATAGCAGTACTAATATAGATTGAGACTGTAAACCTATCTGGGAGGTTTGGTCGTTGTGGGTCTCACAGTCATCGAGGTTCAGATATTTTAAAGGAAAGTAAAGAAGGTGATGAGGAAGAGTAGAAGAAGTGTAACAATAACTAGAGAATCACAGTATATGATGTGCTTGGAGTCAGTTTGAAGACTATTCCCAAATAGGAAGTAGAATCACAACACAGTGTAGCAGAAGTTAGATTTTTTCCCCCAGTCTGGTTAAAATATTAAATAAGTTTTTACAGACAAAAGGTAAATGGAATTTAAGTAGGCAAAATCACTGGTCCATGTTATCTCATTTGTTGGTTGATTAAAAAAACAAAACAATAAAAATCTAATCTTCTCCTCTCTGTACAGCACAAGCACTTTACAGAGGACATCCAGACGAGACAGTACCGTTCCATTGAAGTCCTGATTGGAGCTGGTTACAGCACCCCTGCAGACATTTGGAGTACTGCCTGCATGGTAAGGAGAACACATACATATATACAGCACATTACATACATATATACTCAGTATAGATGTAAGTACAGTGCTCTGATCTTTTGTAGGCTTTTGAGCTGGCTACTGGAGATTACTTGTTTGAGCCCCACTCTGGAGAGGACTACTCCCGTGATGAGGGTGAGCATTTAAATCTCCATGATCACACAAATTTGATTTCCAAAAATAGAAACATAGAAAACATTTGAAAGTATTCCACAGGGGGAATCATAGCTTAATATTGTATGTTGAGACTAGAGGCTTGATCTACAGTATGTCCTAGATGATGACTTGAAGATGAATAAGAAGTAGTAATGAGGGAAATGTACAACAGAAATATAAAAGCAAAGTGTCTTAAATGCTTTATGGACTGTTCTAATTTGAAATGTAATTGACTTAATGTATTTTTAAATGAAAGTGTGTGTTTGTGCGCTATTGAAACTCAGTTTGCTTGACAGGTTTTCTCCATTGTTCAGGTGGTTTGCTGATAACTGCGTTCTAACACTGCAAATGCAATGATGCAACTTTTTTTTGCTTTTCTTTATTTTTCACATGACAGAGGGCATGGTTTTAAAAACACAGGTGCAGACACAGAGTACACATTGCACCAGGAAGTCTAAAGTGAGACTGTTGTTTCTATCAGTGCATCTGAACAATGGACAAAAACTGTATTAGATCGGTACTTACTGTATTGTAAAAAAAAAATAGTGAGTTTAGTTGAAACTATTATAGCCATCCCTCTCCCCAAATCCCCCTATCCACTGTCAACTGTAAATCCTGTCCTTTAATTCTGCTGCTATGCCTCCACTCATCTTCACCCCACTGTATACCTAAACCTGAATCATTCAAACATTATAGATACACAGAGAGATTTCCAACAAACTGTGAAGTTAGTAACTTCAGTGTAAGAGTAACATTACCCAGTTACTGTGATTGAGTATATGTGTATCTATATTCATACAAGCAATACAGTCCCTGTATTTGCATGTAGACTCATCCTCTTTACTGTGTCTAGCAAACACATTTTCAAACTGTGCACCCTCATCCTCACCTCAATCCTTGATCTCTTCATCTCCCCTGGTCTTTGATCTTACCAGCTGATTGTGCTATTTTCCTCATTGCATGTGACACAGTTATCCTCATTTTGCATGTTTTGCACAGTTTTATCATGACAGAAAGACACCTTTGATTTCCCATCAAAAAAGAAAAAGAAATCCAGCTTCAGGTTCCAGTTGACTTAATTCTGCATCTGAATGCATCTCACTTTTATTCCAAGGCTGTTCACTTCATTTCACCACCTCTGCTGTGGAGGCACAGCTCACTAACACAGGTTTCTCTCCTTTACTGTCTGTGACTGTCTCTTTTTTCCTTCCTTTCCCCCCTCTGTTATTCCTCCCTTAACCTCTGTGATCTTTTCTACCTGTAACGTCTTGTTATTTTATTTCTCACAATCCATCCTCTTTACAATTTACTTATGTTACTTTCACTGTCCTTTTTCAATTAATTCTCCCCTTCCGTTACCCTTTCTCTCTGTTGCATCTCCTTTTCTTCCATTTCTTTTTTTTTTTGTCATCCTTCTTCCTTTTTCCTTCCCCCTCTCCTCCCTTCCACCTCCCTTTCTCCTCCATAGACCACATAGCCCACATCATAGAGCTGCTGGGCTGTATTCCGAGGCACTTTGCGCTCTCTGGAAAATATTCCCGGGAGTTCTTCAACCGAAGAGGTAGCGCTGGCCAGAGAGCTGGTGGGACTGGGACACATAAATGTCTAAAACGGACAAAAATGGACACTAGCAGGAAGTTGGGACACCATATAAACATAAAGCTTATGTTGTTGTTAATTTGATTTTGGAAATAATTGGATTTATTAATCGAAATAGTGACTGAAAACAGTGAGAACAGTCTTGTAAAATCCTCACCACTTTAAGGTGTTTCAGTAGCTGTCCAACTGCGAGTGTGTCCATGCAGTACTCCAAGGCAGCAGTGTGTGTCAGTCCCATACAGCCAGTCGTGTTTGTGTGTGTGTGTGCATGCTGTAATGCTGAACCGTGCCTGTTCCCTCTGTGATCTATGTGGTGGTGGGCAGACCACATCGCTCTGATCATGGAGCTCCTTGGGAAGGTCCCACGCAAAGTGGTCGCTGCCGGGAAGTACAGCCGAGAGTTTTTCTCCAAGAAAGGTAAACGACACCGTGGTTGGTCAGGTGGAGGGTAGGCCTGATGTAGGGATAGCTGTAGTACATGAAGAACTGCCTAGAAGTCTTTTGTGTAGTAAAGTTTGTAGTGCTGCTACAGAAGTCTGAATTAAGTCAGCTCAGATGCTCTCAGGTAAGTTGTCAATCACAGCAAACATGAATAATGAATTGTCGGGCTGGGCGATAATTGGTTATTATAGTTTATTGGTTTATGTATCATGATCATATGATCACATTGTATTCTGAGTTTCAGGCCAGGGTTTATGTTACTTTTGTGTCTCCCATAAGAGATTTTCTTGGATTGAAGGAATTGTTGCAAAAAAAATGCGTTCACAAAAACATGCTCAGTGATACAAGAATCCTAAAACATACATCGCATAATAGGAATAATGATTGATCATTTTACTAAATTCTGTTGTCCAAATGAATTCTTCCAGTTGTGATCAAAAAACAAACAAAATTAGTAATTGAAGATTTTGTTGTACACATTCGATTTTTTTTAATCGCTTTAAACATCAGTTTCATTTTCATATATATTTGTCTAAATATTCTTCATATTGTAATATTTATTTGAACTTTATCGCCCATCCCTACTTGATTGGCATTTAAATACTTTGTTGTGATTATCTTAATCATCTGTGCACTGCAGAGTAATTAATTCACTACAGTCACTTTATATAGACTTTAACAAACCAGCTTGTAGTTGACAAAACAATAGTCAGATGTTTTGCCTTTGTAATATCAGCGATCATATCAGCAATTTATTTGATGAAATAACAGCCAAAACCAAATATTACACCTATAGTAGAAGTAATATATCATTACAGATTGGATGTCAAAGTTAGGATCAATAACAAACGCAGTAAAGACAGTAAAGTCATACTCCCAGTCTACACAGCAAGGCTTTAACTTACTGCATCTAAGGTCTTAAGTATGTCATACACCTCACTGATTCTGCTCATCTTTGAGCCTGGTAAGTGCATGGATCTGTGTTTGGTAGAGCTGATAACCCTTGCACTCTCTCATTTATTCTCTTTTTTCTTTCTTTCGATCTCCTTCCCTTTCTGCTCATATATTCTTCATAATGTGTCATGAGACCTGAATATTCTGCCTTTGATGTTGTCTCTATCTGAGGTCTGAGCCTGCACTTGATGTCTCAATGTTCTCCCTTTTATCTCTTGGTGCTCTGTTAATCTGGTCTGACTTTCTCGCTCTGTCTCTCTGGGCTTCTCCTGTCTACCGTGCTGCCTTCGGCCACGAAGTGCAATCGAGCTGCCTTTTTACCTTTTTTTCCTTCATGCACGCTGATACTTGACTTAATAAGAATGCAAACCCAAAGATTATAAACATACAGTAATATGTGACAAGCAATGTGCAATTAATGTAAAAAAACAAAACACAGCTGTAAGGGTTTACGTTGCTGTCAGAGATCTTGTTTCAACATCTTCGCCTTAATCAATCTCTAACATAAGGGAAGTCTTGATAAATGGCTTCTTTTCCCCCATCTTGTGTTCTCCAGTCGGTGTATTGTGCGAAGGAGAGGTTACCATGGCAGCCATGGTTTGAACAGGACCTTTGGTCTTGATCGTCTCCATCATTAATCATTCTCTCAAACTATTTTCTTCTCTGTCAGTCTTGTGCTCCCAGCCAATCATTTTCCTCCTCTCTTTAATAATAAACACCTTCCTCTCCTTGTCTGTTTCCATTATATCACTGATTCTCTGTGTCTTTCCATTCACCTCTTGCCATCTGTTCTTGTAGTTTTCAGCCAAGACTCTACAGGTTTTCACTCCATCGTTACAGCACCTCACTGATTAGCACACATTCAAACAGAGAGGCTAAGAGACTAATCAGTGAAATCAGCTGCTGTAGTGATTGGCTGAAGCCTGCAGAATCGTGGCCTGGTATGGCATCTGATTAAAGGATCAGTTCACCCAAATAACCCAAAAATCTAGTGGAGTCTGGCCATGCAGTATTGGATAGATTTTGATATATTTAAATGGATTTTTGTTTGCACATATTTCAATAGCAACATCTTTCTTTTAAAAACTATGTCCTGTTTACTCTGGAGTAGGAGTTGCCGGATCGATATCCAAAGTATAGACTACCGATACTAAGTCATGTTTTGAGTATTGATACTAGCTTTAATAGCTCTTATGTTAGATCATGTTCATGTGAACAGTAATCACCTTGTTAGTTCAGAGAAATCACAAAATGAACATTTTCTATTTATACACCTATATATTATTGACACAAAAATACAAAGAAATGCCTTATGTTTGTATGTTTTGTTCATTACTCAGTGATGAACATGTAGTCAGTATCCTATTAATGATGCACTCACCTCATAAAATATGACAATACATTAGCTGCTTTTAATAATAAAAAGTGTTGATGTCAATATATGTAATTTTGGCCCTGCTATGTTAATGAACATTTGTGGTAACTCCCACCCCTACTCTGGACCATCTACACACTTCCTATTGGACAGTTTTCACTGGAGCTACTTTTTTTGTTTTACAACAGACAATGCGATTTTCAATGCTGTGAGCATCGTAAATTTAACTTTGTTCAACTCTACTCCAGGCAGAAATCTCAGAGATTGATATCTTAGGCTACTAGTCAAACTAAAACTATCTGCATGGCTAGATATCACTAGAAACTAAATAAGGCTAGTTTTATTCTATATTTATTTCAACAAATCCCATGAAAAGACAAAAGCAACAATGCATTAGTCTGTTTCTCAGTATTACAACTCTACAAAATGGGACACAAATACATATTTATTTTAATCAAACAGGAGTAAAAAGTTAATTTGTTGGGGACTATTTTCAGCTGCGTATTATTACACATTTGGTAAACTATGATATTTACAGCAGCAGAGAGTGTATGTGGAATTTATTCATAATAAATCTCACTCTCCATGCTTACCATAATGAATCACATGTCAGCCAGTGTAACTGGCTTACTGGTGTGTTTTTGGACAACAGTTGACCTCCATAGCAAAAAGAAATATCCGATCCATTCCTCATTGGTTTTGATCTTTTCTCTGGGTTTGTTGATATCAAGAAAGTAATTTGGTTGAACTAACCCTTTATATGTTGGCACTCTTTTCTCCTGAAATCCTCCTGTGCTGTCATTGACTCTGCACCCTGTTGCCCCCTGCAGGTGAGCTGCGGCACATCACCAAGCTGAAGCCGTGGTCCTTGTTTGACGTGCTGGTGGAGAAGTACGGCTGGGCGCATGAAGACGCCGGCCACTTCACCCACTTCCTCCTGCCCATGCTGGAGATGGTGCCCGAGAAGAGGGCCTCGGCCGGCGAATGCCTCAACCACCCCTGGATCAACTCGTAGCCACAATCTCTGATCAAACGCCCTCCTCCCCTTGTCCCCCAACATTTAGCTAAAACATCACCCCCTGGTGGCAGCCTGTGGAACAACAGCACGCAGAGAAGCTGGAGACAGACCGATTTGAAGTAAACTTATTCTTTCCTGCCCTATCCTACACATCCGTTACATACTTATCTGAGTAGGCTTAAGTTCCACACAAGCCTTTCATCTTTTCCCAAAAGGAATGTAAAGACAAGGTTATGGAGATAACATGACATAGTAGCTGTGTCTTCCAAAACATCTCCCAAAAAGAATCAGATAATTTGAAGATGGATGCTGCTCGCACCGTAAAAGGGAGATGTCAGGCTCGGTCTGAAAGAGATGTGCTTTCTTCTTCTCGTCTGCTGTCAAGATGTCAGCCGGTCTCTTCCATCTAATCTCTTCCTAATTCTCAGTTTTAATTTGTTTGGATCCAGTCGTGGGCCACTGACAGCTGCTGATCTCTACAGTGATGTGAAAGAAAAGTCGACGAGAAGCCCCATCGCAGTGCCGACAGCCCAGAGCTCCATCTGCCATGACCTTTACATAGCCAGGGCCTCAAAGACAGACAAGTGTGTGTGTGTGTGTGTGTGTGTGTGTGTGTTCTTGTGGGTGAGAATGAGCACATGTGCCTGTGCTTAAGATCCGCCTACATAGACCCTTCTCCTCTCTTTCCAGCCCAGTTGCCCCACCTTCACCCTGCTATGGAAGGAACACCTACGTGGGGATAAAAGTTTACACCCTGATTTCTTCCACAAATCCAAGCCCAGAAAAAGCCCCCTTACCTGCCCCTCCTGTAACCCTTCCCCCTTCCCCTTGCTAAATGAGCTGCATGCTCCTGCTGGGGGCCACTTCAGAGAACTGGAGGGCAGCCAGTCCTCCAGGGGGCACCACACTGACAGTTGCCACTCTGACAGAGAGAGACAGAAAAAGTGCGGAATGAGCAAAAAAAAAACAAAAATACAATCAACTTAACACGGAGGACTGCTTGGTCTTTAAAGACTATTTTTAAAATGCATGGAGGGACTGATGGATCAGCATGAATGGATATGACAAATGGACGATGGAGGCGTTATTTTATTTGTGCATTTCGCTGGTTTCTTGTTCCCGTTTCATCATCTCTTGGACATTCTGTTAGAAAGATTATATTAGGATATTTTGGTGCCCCCCCTCTGAGGAAGGTAACTACATTACAACCCTTTCTTCTCCAGCTTTTGACATTCCTAAATCTGTGTCCATCCTTCCTGACTTTTATTCCCAAGAACAGTTTTGTTGAGTCCTGCTGTGGTACGTTTACCTGATCTGATTGGTACTATTCCCCCCTTTTTTTCCCCCTATAGAGGAACCCTTTGATCCCTGAGGTTCTCCAGAGCGGGGATGGTCACATGGAGGTTGCACTTGTCTTTGTAGATGTCCTTCAGGGATTTGAAACCTTTGTACATAGAACTGAGATCTTGCAAAGCAGATAAGCGACCGTGGACAAAGTTTCAACACACAAGCATCATTCCAAAAATCAGAGGTTGTTGTTGGCATAACTTGACTTCCTCTGATACAGTGGGGAAGTGGGCCTGCCATAGCTCTGGCCCTGGAGGAATGTTCAGACTGAACTGTGCCACCTAGTGGCTGAATGAGAGTACTGCATTGCCACACACTGCTGCTGCTCTCAGTGCCAACGCTCCGAGACGTTCCACTATATCTCTCCACTTAATCTCTATTTCTCTGTCACACAGACACACACAAACTTGCATCATCACAATTAGTCCAGTTGCCTATTTTTCGCAATAAATGAAAAAAGATGAGTATAAGTAAATGGTGAGATATTTTTAAAAACTATTTAATTCATTAAAAAAAAGAGAAAAAAAAAAGAAAACAACTTTTCTCTGGTTGTTGTGACCGTGACAGAATCTCGTCTTATACTGAGGTGATTGTGTTTGTCTATTAGAGATGTTTTTATTTCTTTTGTCATTATTATTATTAATTATTATTATTATTATTATTATTATTGAAAGATTTTTTTACAGTTGTCACCTCTCCCCTCCCTCCTTACTTGAACAGTGCTGCTCTGTCTGGGCTCTTGATGGTGATAAAAAAAAAAATCAACAGTTTTGCAATAAAGGGTATGTGATGAGTTTTTTGCACCAAAACCTCCTGATCTCACTCTTTCAGCCATGCTGACTGTTCTTCCTGATGACATTGACAGAACCGCGTCTCTTGTCTGTGTTTTTCATTGACAGATTTAATAAAATTGTAAATTAATGGATCCTGTGCCCTTGATGTAGTGAATTGTTTACTTTGAAGCTGCGTCAGTATACCTCACTTAAAAAGGGTCAGAAAACATCCAACTGGGCAGAAGAGGCAACAAAAAGGAAAAAAAGCATAGATTCTCTTTTTTATTGATATGCATAATTCATACAAGTGTTCCCATTGTTATAACGGAAAGTTAAAAGATCATTGTCAGTTGTGAGTACAATTAGCCAAAGGCTTCACATTGTCAATGCAGTCTATGAGAACAGTACATGTTATAGTACATTGGGATTCACACCAAAGCAAATATGCCCATTAGACAACATTACCTATGATGCAATAAAAGATGGAGTGATCAGACATCCTGAGATCAATATTAGTCATTAAAAAGTTAAAAATATGCTTTTAAGTTTCAACTAGGGATTTTCTTTTCTATCTTAGATCGCTACAAATGGACTCTGATTATCTGTGTGTCTGACTCCATTAGCACTCAATAAATAAGTGGTTTCATGTAAAACGCAGTTAATTAGGCTCAGTAAGAGGGGCCTTGAAGTGGATTTTCGGTGGGTGAAATTTTTATACTACAACCAGACAGCAGATGATACAATTCAAAGGTAGCGGTGATGAAAGTGGAAACACCACCAATGTAAAACTCAATGAGGTATTTATGGATTCAAACAGTGATGAGATCTTATGATCCTTGTGGAATATTGTACTGTAAGCTTGAAGACAACCCATCATCGCGGCATTAGGAGGACACAGTATACACGCATGCGATGTCTATAGAGGTAATATACACCGATCAGCCATAACATTATGACCACCTGGGGGAACACCCCACAGGAGCTGCAGCTTTTGGAGATGCTCTGACCCAGTCGTCTAGCCATCACAATTTGGCCCTTGTCAAAGCTGTTCAAATCCTCACGCATCAACTTGAGGACAAAATGTTCACTTGCTGCCTAATATATCCCCCCCCCTCATAATGTTATGGCTGATCGGTGTATGTACACTTACATGTGCCTGTCTGTGTGTAATGCATTGTGAGCCGTGTGTGTCAGTGTGTGTGTGTCAGAGCATCGAGGCACCGTTCTTTAGCAGTAGGGGTTTGACCGAATCCAGGATGTCCAGGTTTGGATCAAGTGACCTACCCAGACCCTCCAGCACCATGACCGCAAACACAATGGAGGCGAAGTTACTCTCCAGCTTCACCTAGAAAAACAAGCGGTAATAACATCAGTAAGCGATGGCATCACAGCGTTTCTTCTAACTGTTTAAGTTCAGTCTTTTGGTGGTTCAAACTGTTTAGTATAGAGCTAAGCCCAAACAAGCACAGTTTAGAAGGTTAATAGCTCAGCAACCTCATTTTGCACCAATTTATAACATTATAACTCTTATTACTGCTGCATACTGTTTTATCACCACTGAGCTGACAAATGTGCAAAAAAAAAAAACAACCTTGATTGTTCAGTACAGTCAGTTCAGCCTGATTGTACACTACATGTACTGAATACCTCTAATGGAAATGTGAAAGCTGACATAACAATATCCTATATATAACAGGTTCAAAGACCATTAAGTATACCTTTTTAAAAGATTCCATAAATGCCTACGGTCACGTAATTTTTCAATTACTCCTGTTTTTTTCTTTAAAAGCGTTAACCAGTGGCTTCAACAAAGCAGCAGCCTCGCAAGCTGGACCTACCTAACAGCAATGTGAAGAAGAGCACAGTCATTTTATCTAAAAACTAATTAAAACTCAGTAATGCGTAGTTAAGTTAACTACTCAGTACTAAGTTAAGTCACTGCAAGTTCAGTCTTTCACTTACTTTTTACCCCGGCAACAGCAGTGACTCTGTGGTGTCACCTGTTGTAATGTCACATAAAGCTTAAGCTATAAATAGTGGTGTTCTGAACCATATGAGTGTTTGTTCAACATAATGAATGTAACTTCCTGATACTCTACCTTGTGTTTGATGAGTAGACCAAAGACTCGAGAGAGCAAGTCGCCCACTTGGACCTATAAACACAACAAAAGGTCAACAAAACATCAAATATTATTTCCTAAAGTAACTGAGCACTTTGACCAGCCAATAAGACCTTTTAAATAATCAAATACCTCCCGGTGATGGAGGTTACTGTCAATATTACACAGTTTGGTTATTTTTTCTCTTTCAACCCACGTTCCTGTTAGCCTATATAAACTACTGTAGGTTAACATTTTCTGAATAGATAGTCCTTTGGTAAGTATTACAGTGAGGCAAATCTGTTTCATTTGCATGTAAGTTTTCATTAAACATAGGGAGAGTATATCAAATAATAATCACAGGAAAAAATTTATTTCTTTCCTCTACAGCTGAACATAGTAACATAATAATAATAATAATAATAATAATAACAATAATAAAATGTGGCCCTGCATCAGAAACACAGATTTAGGTTAGTACCTTTCCCAGAGAGATGGTGTTGCTGAGGGCATGGTCCACCAACAGGGCCATCTCCTTCTTAAACTGTGGCACGTCTTGGCACTCGTTGGCCCGAGCATGATGCAGGATCAACTCTGCCACTCGCTCACCCTGAAGAAAAGACATCAAAACCACAGCAACAGGTTTTACTTACAGATTACATCACTTTCTACTATCTAAGAAGCATTTTTAAGGAAAGGCTGATTGGATTTCCTGTGGAAAAGCTTTTAAATTTAGATTAAAACAATTTTTAAGATATGTCCTGCTACCTTCCTGCGACACGAAAAATGACGATATGAGAAACACATACAGACAATAACAGTTCATTTGTTGAAGCGACCCCGACCAATTCAACGTAAAAACACGTTTGCCAACTTTACGTATGAACCCTTTCCCTCGTTACCTGATGCAGCACCACGGCTGTGAAAACAGCCTTTAAGTTGGCCAGATCGAGTTCGCTGAGCTGAGCTACGATGCCGGCGTCCAGCAGTACCAGCTGGAGAGGACATGGGTTTGGTCTGACGCTGACCACCACTGTGTCCCACAAGTCAGTGAGGGTGGTCTTACCATGGGTCTCCCCTGGGATACCAGTACTGTCACTGGAACCAGGAAGAGGCCCCAAGCACTGGACCAGAATGTTCCCGGGATGGAGATCCCCGTGAACAAAGTTGTCCACAAACACCTGGAACACATGATAGAAATGAAGTGAAACAATCTTACAGATAAATATAGCAACAACAACACAGAACACACATAAACATGAGCAGAACCAGATGGTGAGACCTTCACTCAATTAATTAATCAGATGCCACTGATAACCAGCAGGTGGTCTATCTCACCATCTTCAACATGGTGTCTATTCCAATCTTGGCTATTCTCTGCTTCACCTCCTGAGGAATGTCGGCGCTCAGGTAGTTGGATATGGGCTCACTCTCCTGAAAAAAAAAAAAAGGTAACCTGAACAATGTTGGCTCATTTGAGAGGAATAAAAAAACAACAACATAATTGTAATCACAGAGAAGACACAAGAAGACAATACTTCCATACTGTCCATTTGATATTATGACATGTGTAACATGCTTGTTCTGTACATTTGGAGATCAGTTAATTATTCAACCACTGTTTTCCATAGATTTTAAAGCCTTGTGCACTCACTTCAAAAGTTTCCACTAAAATGTTCCTGGTGACAAACGGTCGTAACGGAGTTGGGAACTTGACATAATCCACATTGCGGAAATTATCCCGGAAACGCTCAATGTTCCTGGCCTCAAACCGGAGGTCAATCTGAAATAAGAGTTCAGTCACATCACTGAAATGATTAGAGTCCTCCTCCAGCTTCTTTAGGCAACTTACCTATTTTACTTTTTAATTTCAGAGGAACGTAACTTAACCAATAAGGTGAGTACAAAGTCAAACAATAAACATCCAGTATTAAAATCAGTGCTCTGAATATTGCTACCTGTTTGGTCATTAGCTTCTCAAACTCCTCCACTATCTCAGACAGACTGAGCCACTTGAGTCCAGGCAAGCAGTGCAGGAGCCAACAGCCTGCTTTCATCAGCAGTAGGTCCATTTCCACCTGCATCCTGACACCTGGATGGAGCACCTGTCATATGCCAGAAACAATTTACAAACATCTGCTGACACGGGCTAAAAAGAAATGCCCAACAGAAAGCACTGACAAACAACAGCTGAAGGCATGATTCAGTATTTTTCAGGGGGGTTTATGTTATCAACTCGGCCTCAACATGAACATACTCCAGTGAGAATACACTCCCACCTTGATAGCCACAGGTATCAGATGCTCCTTCTCTGCACTGCTCTCCTCCTGCTGCCCCTCTGGGTGACTTCTCTCCTCGAAGCCCTCCTCCTCCTCCCTTCTCCCCCTCCAGAGCTGCCACAGGGAGCTGGCCACTCCTCTCAGACCGGGGATCTCCCAGGCTTCCAGCAAGTCTTCTTTCTCCATCTCCTCCACCAGCGACTGGAAGGCCGGGTCCTCTACGTGATCCGCCTTCGCCCAGCCTTTGTACACCTGGGCCACGCATCCCGAACCCACTGGCTCTTTGCTCTCAAACTCTAAAATCCTCCTCCAACCCTCCCCGAAAGCCCTCCGGAGACACTGCTTGGTGTGGGCCCAGGAGTGAGGGCGCACCTTTACGTGAAGCCTGGAGAAGCGTTCACAGAACTCCTGAGGGAAGATGTCCCGCCTGGTGCTGGCCCACTGCCCCAGCTTGATGAAAGTGGGACCAGATGTTTCAGTCACCCACAGCAGAGCGTCCACCCAGAGAGAGGCCCAGCGAGTGGACACCAGAGCCAAGGGGGACAGGAGGAGAAGGGGGCCAAATTTGAGGAGCAGCACCAACGCACGAAGGCTGAGGCGGAGGACAAATACAACTTTGTGCACTTGGACTTTGGCTAGAGACTTTTTGTCAGCAGTTGGCGATGCAAGAACTGCTTCCTGGCATCTGGCTACACAGGATGATACATTGCCTGCACCCCAACAGAGCAATGTAACCTTGGGTATCTGGGTTAAAATCTGGCCTCTTTTAAAAAAGCATGTCCTGGACTTTTGGAGGAGTCTGGTTCTGGTAAAGGAGCCTGCCTTCTGGAAAGTGTACCTCAGGTTGAGGAGGACGGCTCTTGCTCCAAAGGCCATCATAGTCACCAGGTCAAATGGCTGTTAGCTCACATGTCCTTCAGCAAAATCACCAGTAAAGGATGACTCCGAACTCACACAAACCAGTGATCTACACGGAAACATCCACGGCTTTATGGCGGGGGGGTCCACCTTAAAAGAAAGAAGCAACCTGGATTAATGCCACTGGCTACAAGAATATTTTAACCAGTTCACTACAAATTCGTGGCTTTCCTTTTCGGGTGACATTAGTTTCCTGTAAACGCGAGGAAACGGGGTTGTCGACGGAGACATTTGATGGTTACTGTAGGAGCTAACAGTTCATCAATATCATCCGTTTCCACTGGAAACAGAACAGCCATGAAAACATTCGAACGACGGCCGCTTCACATCCGGGTATGACGTAGCTCCGACGAGATCACGTGGTTTCGTCTTAAAGGCGCGAGGTCATAATGTCTTTTACCTTTTATGGGACTTTGACAATTATACCGTTTTTACCATTATACTACTAACGTAGAAATATACAAATAAATAAATGTAGAAATATATTAATAAATACATACAACAATACAAAAATAGCCTTTTTATGACCAAAATGTATTTTTGTTATGATTTTATTTATGCATTTAATTATTTATTCCTACAGGTATTTATGCTTGTGACATTTTCCCCCTTCATAAATATAGTATTCAGTTTAATTTTTTCGAATAAGTGCACAGTGCAGAGACTGCCCCACAGATGGAGACATATCACACATTTTTTCTGGGTTTCCATTCCGTTTGTCTTCCCTCCTCTCCTTCTTTCTCCCTCTACCAGAAGGAAGCAAGGGAATGAATGGAGGAAAGAAGATTGCAAAAGTGAGAATAACAATTGAGACAGTTGTTGTCTTAAGACCTTTTTCACAGCAGACATTTTGACTTATCATAGCAGAGGTGGAACCTCTAACATTAACAATGGCTCTGTTCCATTATGTGCCCGAGGAAGCCTCTACAGTGAGCCACCTGGACCTGGCTCATTTAAATGTTATACAGCCTTCATTAAGGTCATTAAAAGCTTTTAACGAACAATGGAACAGCTCTAGCTAGGACTTCAACTAATGAATGTTTTCATTATTGATTTATTTACAATTATGTCCTTGATTAATTGATTAATTGGTTTGTCAGTATAAAATGTCATAACATGAAATTATGACATAAAATGACAATCCCATTTTTTAATTGCTGGTTTTATCTGAGCAACTGTACAGAAACTAAGTTTAGGACACAAAAAAGTTGCATGTCCTCCCATTTAAGAAATGTTTTCCTTTTTTCTTGAATATTGTCGTAAACTAATCTATGAAAATAGTTGGCAGTTATTTTTTCTGTCTATTGACTGATTGATTGTTTGACTACATGTTTCAGCTCTAACACGTACAACAAAATGGAAACACCAAAGACATATGGGGCCTCAGGACATAAAATGGCAGGACTTATTATATAAGTTGGAAAAAATGAATCCAACAACAACATTTTCTAGCCGGCTGTTGATCAATTGTTGAAAGGAACGTTGTTGGGCGAGCATGTGGTCTGGACATTAATGGAAGTGGTATTGAAAAGTCCTTCCTGATAGGATACTCTGTGTTTTCCTGAACTAAGTTCCTATGAGATGACTTAAGAGCTGCTTTATTATTTTTCTGCATTGGTATGGTGGGCAAATCTGTGTCTGGGTCATAAAGGAAAGGAGGAAGCAGGGAACAAAACACACCCTGGGTTTGATTTCATTGTCACTGCCTCTGGAGGCCTTGCAATCAGCCTACTATGCACCACCAAGGACTGAGAACTTATCCCAGTCATGTTCCCAGTCACGGTGTGAGTCCCTTGGACAGTGGGCTCGGTACGCTCCCAGGATCCCAGCTGTAGGCCTGATAGAGGACTCAGCAACACAATAAGGTGAGATAAACGCCAAACAGATGTTACTAGCCCCCACCTCCCACCCTGTTCCCCCCACAGCTATTGATGGACAAGCCAGGCTTTTTAGATCTCTCTTGCATTTCAAAGGCGAGGTCAGGGATTGGGCTCAGAGGTCAGTGGGATAGTTGCTCTGCTGAGGTGATGCTGTTAGACACTTTATGAAGGCTGCTCAGTGAAATGACTGTAGGAATGCAGCTGAGGCCCCTTTACAGGCATTTGCATAGAGATGCTAAGCTTTACATTAAATCTAAAGGCTACATTTTTTTTTGTGTATTTACCATTTTTATGCATGTATGTCTATATTCTTCTGCTTGTGTTTCCATTTGTGTATCTTTTAGTTGTGGAAAGTACAGTACATTTACAAATGTATACATGTACCTGCAGTTATGAATAGGCCTACTTGTACATTTGAGTATTTCCATTTGATGATGTAATCCACTAAAGTTCAAAGGGATTTATTTTGTTCCACTGAATTTATTTGACAGCTGTAGTTACTTTGCAAATTACAATTTAACATACAAAAATAGGATCAGTTTATAGAATATGATGCATTGTTGTAGATTAAACTACCAGTGTATAAAATATTTACAAGAACATAAAAGCTACACTACCACATTAAAATGCTGCTGGTGTGTTACTGCATCCGTAATAATGACCCTGCACTATTTTGTAACAACAATATGACTGTAAAATTGTGCATAATAATTATTTGTATTATTATTTTTTTCCACACTGGTTTACAGCATCAAGTATCATAAACAAATTCACAGTCTAATGAATCAAACCCAATGGAAGTTTCCTGGAACAAACACTTGTAAAGCTATTATAAACCTCTTTAGTATGGCTTCACAAACTACCACAGAGTTGAATCAACCTTTCTCAAACTGAATATAATTGCTTTTGCTAAAGTACAGTAGAAGTAATTGCATGGCTATTGTATTGAATTGCATTAGATAGTCATCCATCCCCATTAGCAACCAACATTGATTAGTTTCTTGATTAATCCTTTAATTTACAAAATGTCAGAAAATCTTAAAAATATTTGTCACTATTTTCTGAAGTGACATCTTCAGATTGCTTGTTTTGTACAACCGCCAGTCCTAAATCTAACGATATCCAGTTTACAATCACAAAATACAAAAAAGAAGCAAATCCTATCAAATTACTAATTGTAAATAGGAGATATTAATACTAATACTAATTACCTAAACAATTAAACAATTATTGAAATAGTTTCTGATTAATATTCTCTTGATCAACTAATTGATTAATGAATAAATATTCATAACAAATAAATGTTTCCATCTCGAATCTCAATTTTCGGTAAAGATTGTATTTATTAAGTAAAATATTTAAATCTAAGATGTCATAAGCTGCACACAGCACACAGCACTGGTGCTTCCACACAACACCACTTACAGTTGTTGTTGTTGCTGTTGGCTGGCACATGAAACCAGTAAACAAAATCTTGCAGATAAAATAGATGAACATGTTGTCCCCTCATTCAGAGAGGAAGAGAGACCCTTGGGCTTCTTTAATTGGCTCCCGGAGGAGGTTTTTATTTATGTGTTCAGTTGTGCCCCTTCCTGCTCCATTCCTCCTTTCTTCTACCTCTTCTTCTTCTTCTTCTTTTATTTTATTTTTTTGGAGCAGGACACTCGGTTTCCCAGGCAACTAGGTCTCCAATCGGCCGGCCAGCTGCAGATTAGTTCAGCGATGGGGGGTTTAGGTGGGTGGGAGGGGGGGTTGTTGGTGATGATGGAAAATGGAGAGGGAGGAGAGAGAGAAAGGAGAAGGGGGGAGGAAGGGGGGAGAGAGAGAGAGAGAGAGAGAGAGAGAGAGAGAGAGAGAGAGAGGGGGGGGTGGCACGAGGGAAGGAGGGGTGGGAAAAGTTTGGAAAGAAGGGGGGAGAGAGAGCAAGAGAAGGAGCCAGCGTCATTGAGAGATAGGAGTCCGGGTGAGTTAGTGTGTGTTTGAGAGCTGAGAGTGGAGAAAGAGCTGTAAACATTTTAGCCCGGAGGCTGCACGGGAGGAGGAGGAGGAGGAAGAGGAGGAGGGATTTCCCCGACTTTGTGCCCTTTTCAAACTTTTTTGTGCGCTTGGAGCTGCACTCTGTGTCTTTCTCTCTGTGTGTGTGTTTGTGTGTGTATGTGGGAGGTACAGGCAGGGGCTATGCAAAGTGAGAGAAGTTGAAGGCAGGGGTAGGGGTGTACAAACCGTGGAGAGGGAGGAGAGAGAGAGAGAGAGAGAGAGAGAGAGAGAGAGGAGAAAAGGCAAACTACTCTTAAGGAAAGGAACCATGCAAGTGGATGCTGTCTTCTGCGGGGTCAGGTTACGCAAAATGAGAGACTACTCCAAGAGCACTTCATCAGGGCTCACCCAGCTCAGAGAGGTAATGTGCATAGTTGAAGTGTGTGTGTGTGTGTGTGTGTGTGAGAGAGAGAGAGAGTGACAGAGAGTGACAGTGTGTGTGTTTGCATGTTTGCATTACTCTTTTTTTTAAAAAAGTCCTTCAAAAACAAAGTCAGTGATGTAGTAAATATTGGAATTTCTTTTTATGCAGCACATTGAACACATGATGGTTGAGTTGATGTACTTTTTAATCGTGATAAATCGACTGAACTGAAGTGAGAATCAGACACATTGATTGTGGATCTGTCTTCATGCATATGCATACTCTACTTTCTGCAGTGTAATGTATGCTTGACCTTGAATGTGTCAGTATGCATGTGTGCGTCCATGTACAGCTCCACCTCTCTCTGCTCCTTTAAAGAAATATGGACGGTAAATGTTAGGATGTGGTTTTGCCTGTGTTTCATTGTGTGCTGCTTTTGCTCCAGCTTTAAGTACGCCAGAGTGTTGCTCAAGTGGCCGGTCTCAAACTGTCTGCACCAAGTCCATTACTGCTGGCCACAAGAGGCTCCTCTGTACCTCACTGCAGTATCTGAGCACACGTGAGCACACACACAGACATTCACTCAGTGGCTATCGGCTCTCATCTGCTTATTAAATGAAAATAAAGTGTAGATAGACGCTTTGGTGACCATTTGGATGACAGTCAGAGTGCACACTCAAACCAGCACATTCCAAACCGGCTTGTTGAGGGGGTCAGAGAAAAGAGGAGAGGATAAGTGAGATGAGCATTCTTCCCTGTGAACAAAGACTCCTCTTCATGCAAAGGTCCCAGGGCCTGTATTGTTTTGAGGAGGCAGGCAGGGGTGGAGACCTCCCCAGGGAGAACAGAGGAGTTCAGGTGGCTCCAAAAAGTCAGCATTTCAATGATGAAGAAATATGAATTTGTTTGCAGATTCATGACCAGGCATTATTGAAACCGTGCAATTGGGTTAGAAAGTTTTACATTGCAGCTGTAGTCATACACTGTTACAATGAGCAGGCTAGTGAAAATGTAGTTAGTTTCATAGTGTTTTCTCAATTCAACACCTTCTGCCTTGTGCCCTTGTAAATAAATAAACAGGAAGTGATGCATTTTGAAGCAGTAACAGCAGTTTCTTCATAATAGACAAAGCAGCAGTGACAGCCACAAACAGACACAGACATTTCTCTTAAAATGTAACTTACTGTAAGCAGTTAATGTTCCAGGAGAAATAGGAAGGATAATGATTCTTTACTGACTCCACTGTGGAACCAACACAATTTTGTTTATATTTCTCAGCAGATTGCACCATTAAGGCCTACCAAACATCTTGAATGCATTTCCTACCTCATAAACATTTGCAAAGTTGTTTTTTTTTTTATGTTTGGAACCATTGTGAAACTTGCAAGACCAATTCTTCTCTTAACTGCTGTGTCATAACCTTACTACCATAAATTGACAACATTTGGTATTGCAGGACACAGGGAGGGCATTTAATAGACATGTCTGGTTTTTCAGGTAACACATTTTATTTACCAATTGGGCAAATTAATGTAAAGGCCTGACTAGCAAGTAAGGTGAAGCTTTCCAGCTGAAGCATGCAACCAGAAGAAATATGTAACATGTTGTGCATTTGCATGGCGCATGCATATACAATATGTCCTGTATGTACAACTTGTGATGCAAACAATATAGGGACCTTTTCTCAAACTGTGGCTCTACAGTGGCACTAGTGGTCAAAAACTCCACAGGGCACCTTTAAGTTGTCATAGCTCAACCATATGACTTCATGTGAGAAAGCAAAGGCTGTCATACCACAGTGCAAGAGGAATGTCTGCTGTGTCCAATAAGCAGTGACCCTTAAGAGATGGTTATCAATCAGCCAACATAATCTTTCTCAGCAGCTTCCTCGGGCCATTTTAGTTCAGCCTGCTGGGCAATCATTAAACCCAAGAGCAAGATCCATAGAACAGGCAACACTGGAACATTTTTATTTTAATTCTTGATTACAATTGCAGCTGAAGTGTGGGACAACTTTCTGTACTGCCTCTTAAATTTGGTGTTATTTTCATATTGGCATAAATGAACAGCTTCAGCAGGTCAATAGGAGATTTACTGACCACAAATCAACATTCCTCTGCTCTCCTGTTTCTGTCTTCCTTAAGGTCGTATTTACTTAACTGGGTATGGTTGAGAGTTTATTGAATTGAGACTGGCTGACTCTCTAGCACTGTGAAGAGAAGGTTTATAGAGTGGGAGATAAAGAGACAGGGATAGTCTGTCTGCTAGTCAGCAAGGTTGTAATAAGTGGGCTACAATCTTGTAAAGGGGCTCTGCTGTGGAGCCATTGTGTGTGTGTATGTATTTGCTACTATTACACACAGTGGTCTGTCAGATTGGGTCAGTTGTTTACGTTCCGAGTCAGGGGCTAACTGTCTGCATTACTGCTGTGCAAGACAATGTGCACTGTGGTGGAAAACAGGGTATTTGTGACCTTGTTTCATCAATCAGAATATTCACACTCCCAGTGATTCATTTTACTCTCAGACACACACTCATTCGTTCTCTGGGCATTTTCTCTAATTGCACAATTTACTGTCTTATTTACTTTTTTTCTTTCGCAACAAAATCTCTCTTACAAAAACTGCAATCGCACTCAGTGCCTTTCTATCTTTCACTCATCATTTCTCACATACACACTGCCCTGACATATCAACACATGCAACACGTGAAGTCTTACATCTACCCAGTGGAGGTTAATAGAATTTTTTATTAGTATGCATGCTTTGTAAGGAAAAAAAAAAGAAAACCCTTGAAAACTCAAACACCAGATGTTTAGTATCGTGACAAGTCTGTCATCTCTCACAATTGAATCGGCTTTTTACATTTTTCTTGGAAGCCCGCTGAAGTGGAGAAATCGGTCTTGATGATTGGTATGAGTCACTAGAGTGCAAATTAATCCAGGAAAACAGTGTTTAGCTTCACATTGACGCTATGGGCTCAATTTACAAGAAAGTTAACTATTAGATGCCCGTTTTTGCAGATGTGTTTGCGTTTGCTTTTTACAAACATGTACAATAGGCATGCTTGTATGTTAATAGATATATTTATGTATATGGCTGTTTATACAGAAGTCTGCATACATATTACTGTTGTATTTTTCATGGTTTAACTTCAGTTGATCACAATTTCCTCCGTGGATTGAAAATTAATTATATGTGCATTCTTGCATGGTGTGTGTGTGCGTGTGTGTGTGTGTGTGTGTGTTAGAGTGACATCTGTCCTCTCTATTCTTTTCTGCTCAGAAAAGTGACAGCAGGGCTCTAAGAGGTTATAGCCCGTCCAGTCCACCCCCTCCTCTTACAGGAACTGGCTTTTGACAGGCACTCTGCAGGGCGGCCTGCAACTTAAAGACCCCACCGGGCCAATCTCCTGCCGTACCCGAGCTGCTGTTGTTGCCACGGTGACAGGCTCAGAAAGAATGCGTCCCGTGGGGATGGTGAAAGAATTCCTCTTGTTACAAAGATATGGTAGGGGGGTATTGTCTGTGATGTTGGTAGATGGCCATGGGTTTTAGTCATGATCAAAAACATCCACCCCCCATCCCCACCCCACGCACACATGCATAGATGCATGGATAATGCATACCATCTTAGACACCCGTAACCTTGCCCTTGTAAGAGTCAAACCAACACACATACATACACGCATGCATGGATAATGCATACCATCACATGGGATACTGGAGGCATTTATGCAGTTGGCAGCTGGCCATGGTTTTTTCATTAGATTCACCCTTAACCCTAACACACATACACACACTTGTTCTCTCACAGCCTTGCAAGCTGTTGTGCTGACTGGCAGTTTCACTCAGCTAAGTGTCTTGAGTTGTATTGAGTGTCCCGAGTTGGACCATAGCTTGAGAGAAAATTGTTGCTGCGACTCTAATTGGGACATTTAACAGGACATGGCAGACTGAATCCCTGTCCTGCTGCGTTGTTTACACAGATTACAGTACATAATGTGAATCTTTATCAGTCTGGAGGGGGGGGGGGGCGAAGACAGAGGCAGCTACAGTCTGATGGCAGGGTGTGAGCTGTGGGCTGGGAGAATCACCGCAGCAAACCAATGCTGATGACATGCTGATGAAGACTGTCCAAAAGGCCAGTGTTTCCAGCTTGGTTTGGTTTTGCAGCTTGTGCCCACTGGCAACATGTGGCGGTGGCATAGACCCGAACACGCACACTCCAGAACACACACAAACACATGCAGGAAAACAGGCACAGACAGACTCAAACACAGACATGGAAATATAGACCAGAACACGCACAGACACATGGATACAAACACATGCCCACACATAAACATCCACTGACATACTGTACTTGCACGTGAACATGCATTTGCTATTTTGCTTTAACATCCGCAGCTTGGAAAAAGAACTTGTATGTGGGGAAGGCTGCCGTCTGGAAAGGAATGTCCATATGGGTTCAAAGTGTGACTCTAATGTGGCTGTACAGCTCGTTGATTTAGGCTCAGGTTGCTATGTTATAATGAGCATTCCAAGCAAAATGGGAAAAGGTTACCGCATGCTATGTTAGTTTGGTTATGTGCAGAGTGTGTGTGTAATATTTGAGATGGAAAAACTATAAGATCAGTGACCTTCAAATCATTTAAGGAGTTCTGGTCGACTTCTTCTCTTCTCTTCTCTTCTCTTCTCTTCTTCACCCATGGCTGAAAATGAGAGGAATTTTGTTTACCTGTCAATTTAGGGATCCGCTCCATAATGAGAATTAAAACAATGTCTGGAGGTTCATCCAACTGTAACAACTTAATGAGCAGATACTCCAGACACACTGCAGACACAGAGGAGCTTTGATCATACCAAATCATATCTAAACACTGTCTTGTTAAGTTCTAAAGCGGGGTGAGTGGTATTTATCTCTTTGTCTGTCTCCAGTGTAATGATGGTAACACTAATCTCATCCTTTATTATACTGTTATATAGTGTCAAGTTG